CTCATTCTTGCTTCTGTCATGTTCTTTTCTCTCTCATTCTTGCTTCTGTCATGTTCTTTTCTCTCTCATTCTTGCTTCTGTCATGTTCTTTTCTCTCTCATTCTTGCTTCTGTCATGTTCTTTTCTCTCTCATTCTTGCTTCTGTCATGTTCTTTTCTCTCTCATTCTTGCTTCTGTCATGTTCTTTTCTCTCTCATTCTTGCTTCTGTCATGTTCTTTTCTCTCTCATTCTTGCTTCTGTCATGTTCTTTTTCTCTCATTCTTGCTTCTGTCATGTTCTTTTCTCTCTCATTCTTGCTTCTGTCATGTTCTTTTCTCTCTCATTCTTGCTTCTGTCATGTTCTTTTCTCTCTCATTCTTGCTTCTGTCATGTTCTTTTCTCTCTCATTCTTGCTTCTGTCATGTTCTTTTCTCTCTCATTCTTGCTTCTGTCATGTTCTTTTCTCTCTCATTCTTGCTTCTGTCATGTTCTTTTCTCTCTCATTCTTGCTTCTGTCATGTTCTTTTCTCTCTCATTCTTGCTTCTGTCATGTTCTTTTCTCTCTCATTCTTGCTTCTGTCATGTTCTTTTCTCTCTCATTCTTGCTTCTGTCATGTTCTTTCTCTCTCATTCTTGCTTCTGTCATGTTCTTTCTCTCTCATTCTTGCTTCTGTCATGTTCTTTTCTCTCTCTCATTCTTGCTTCTGTCATGTTCTTTTCTCTCTCATTCTTGCTTCTGTCATGTTCTTTTCTCTCTCATTCTTGCTTCTGTCATGTTCTTTTCTCTCTCATTCTTGCTTCTGTCATGTTCTTTTCTCTCTCATTCTTGCTTCTGTCATGTTCTTTTCTCTCTCATTCTTGCTTCTGTCATGTTCTTTTCTCTCTCATTCTTGCTTCTGTCATTTTCTTTTCTCTCTCATTCTTGCTTCTGTCATGTTCTTTTCTCTCTCATTCTTGCTTCTGTCACGTTCTTTTCTCTCTTCATTCTTTGCTTCTGTCATGTTCTTTTCTCTCTCATTCTTGCTTCTGTCATGTTCTTTTCTCTCTCATTCTTGCTTCTGTCATGTTCTTTTCTCTCTCATTCTTGCTTCTGTCATGTTCTTTTCTCTCCATTCTTTGCTTCTGTCATGTTCTTTTCTCTCTCATTCTTGCTTCTGTCATGTTCTTTTCTCTCTCATTCTTGCTTCTGTCATGTTCTTCTTTTCTCTCTCATTCTTGCTTCTGTCATGTTCTTTTCCTCTCTCATTCTTGCTTCTGTCATGTTCTTTTCTCTCTCACTCTTGCTTCAGTCATGTCCATTGTTCTTAATTATTGATTCGGAAGAAGAAGAAGACAAAGATAATTTGAGTGACAATAAAGGAGAAATAATAATTACTCAGTAATAAACATTATTAATATTACTGAAACAAAGAAAGGTAACTTTGAGCCAGTAATATGTCTCGGACCTGGAATTTTATTTGTAATCTGAGTCATTTTTGAAGCATTGTGAAATAGATTTTGTTTGTTTGACTTTTACGACTCGCTCGCCATGGTTCAAACACCACCCGTTCCCTGGGTTTTTTTTTTTTAATGGTATGACCAGTCTGTTTGTCCGAGTCTGGTTAGTTCTTGTCTCCTCCTCCTTCTCCTCCTCCTCTTGCTTTCTCCTCCTGCCTCCTCTTCCTCTTGCTTCCTCTTCACACATAGTTCATCACTGTCTCTACATCTTCGTCAGAAAGACTCAGTCAAGCCACCTTAATAATGAAACTCGGAGTTTGACAACAAAGACAATTTTTAGACACTTGATTCTTTTTCTTAATTATTCTTGAGTTGCATCCCATTTGTATGTGTTTATTTGTCTGTCTGATGACGGAGAAGAATGTTCAGGGAGGTATTCGTTGAGGTAGGTAGGTAGGTAGGTAGGTGTAGGTAGGTAGGTAGGTAGGTAGGTAGGTTGGGTAGGGAGGTAGGTAGGGAGGTATAGGGAGGTAGGTAGGGAGGTAGGTAGGGAGGTAGGGTTGGTAGGTAGGTAGGTAGGTAGGTAGGTAGGTAGGTAGGTTGGTAGGTAGGTAGGTAGGTAGGTAGGTAGGTAGGTAGGTAGCTAGGTTGGTAGGTAGGGAGGGACGAAGGTGCGAATCTTTATCAAAGGTAACAAGTGTTGTAATAACGAAACAGTTTATACATATATATATATATAAATATATATATATATATATAATATATATATATAATATATATATATATAATATATATATATATATATATATATATATATATATATATATTGTCTATGGGTCATTATCGGTGACATGTAAATTGTCTAAATTATTGTAAAAAAATGGAAAGAGGAAAAGGTTGGAGGAGCACTTAAAGATGAGGATCTGCGTTGATTATATTAGCCAGAGTTAGGGTGGGTAACGTCCTGTCTCGCTACGCTGCTGGAAGAATTTTCTGACGAGAAAACCAGAAAATCATCAAGGTAGTGATGGGTAGACTGCGTGTTCTTGTTCCGCTGGAAGCAGTGAAGACGAGACACCAACACCAATATAACTCTGGTGCTGAAACTTCAAACCCTGAAGATGGGCACCAAATGTATATATAGCTTTTGTGTTGTAACGGCGAACACTGAAAACGGGACAGCATCAACAAAAGCTGCGCTGCTGTAACTACAAACACTGTACACGGGACAGTACCACCAACAGCTCTGCTGCTGTACAAGGATGAGAAGTGAAGCGGAAAGACAGCTTGAAACTAACACAACAGAGAGGTACAGAAAGGACGCTGATGCATAGATACACAGGACGAAAGATGAGAGTGAAGGATCATGGAAGGTGAGAGTGAAAGGCCACGGAAGAAGAGAATAAAGGACCGGGTAATAAGACTCAAAACAGAGGGGGAATGAACTGAAAAAATGATGACAGGGACGTATGTGCTGAACTAAACAAAAGCTTCAAAGAGGTCCTCTTCACCGTGGAGGAGGAGGAAGAAGAGGAGTCCTGAGAATCCAGGAGGAGGAGGAAGAAGGGGCGAGCAACAAAGAGAAGAGGAAATTAAATTAGAGTTCAACACCCTAGCATACTGTAGGGTGATTATGAACATGCAGGCATTGTTAAAATGTTAAGAAAATGAAGGAATTGTTAAAAATGTTATTGCTAAATTTTCGAGGAGAAGCTAGATGCAGAGTGGTGATGCAGCTCCTGGAGTATGAAAGACAGGCTGGTGCAAGGGGGACGAGGATTTCTCTAATTCCTGGGATTAAGAGTCTTTGACTAGCATGAAGTCACACTCCCCTCCTTCCTCATCCTTCCTTTGAAGGAAAGAATCAGGGAAAAGAGAGACACTGGATACTGTATACATACTGGGTGTTGCGTGCACGCTGTAGCTAGATACTGTATACATATTAGGTGTTGTGTGCACGCTGTAGCTACATACTGTATACATACTAGGTGTTGCGTGCACTCTCTGCGTCATTTATATTTGGTGTGCATCACACAACAACACAATCAGCATTCCAGCCATTATCAAACACCAGTTTTCTAGCTTATTGCGTATTTAGGTGTGTGTGGTACCTGCGCCTGTCTTCGTGGCTGAACTAGCAGTTGTAAAAAGTCAAGCAGGCAGAGTGAGGGGTTGAACTCTCGCTCCATATTAGTGGATCTTCGATGGTAGCTTAGTTCGTAGTGCACTCAGCTCGCACATTGAGGTCCGCGGCTCGACCCCCGGTACGGGTGGAAACATTAGGGCGTGTTTCCTTAAGATACCTGCTGTCCCTGTTCACCTATCAGTAAAATAGCTACCTGGGTGTTAGTCGACTGATGTGGGTCGCATCCTGGGAACAAAATTAACCTAAGCTACCCGAAATGCTCTGCATAACAAGGGGCTTTTTATATAGTAGTATGTCATTGATGTCAGCTTGTTGAAATAAAGATTATTGTTACACTCCGTTCTGGAGGTCAGTCCCTCACTAGCTTCAGGCTGATTAACACATACCAGAATTCTGTCTCTGTATGAATACATGAGCTCTTGTTCAGAGGGTGGTTAGGAAGTGCAGGGATTTGCATAAACTGTGCAGCCGGCTTCCATACTCAGTTTTAGGACTATGTAATACACGTCTCATGAGATCACAAAAAAAGTGTGACCTTTCATAAATAATTAAAATTTGGGTAGAGGGGAGCCGAGATTTGATCCCCAGCAATCACGACTAGGTGAATACACACACACACACACACACACACACACACACACACACACACACACACACGCACACACACACACAGTCTGGGACCATAGAGATACAATATTACATGAGTGCTTTTCCTGGGGTGCTCTCTAGGGTGTCCCTAGGGAGTTGGATAGATAGATAGATACCAAAGAAACAGGGCTCCAGGATTTAATATTAAGGTAGAATGGTAGGGAAGATCCCATGGACTTTACTGTCTTCATGTTAGTATGGATGAGTGAGGCAGCTGCTGGACTCTCCTCTGCATGACCACACTTTGATGAAGAGACGCGGGTACCGCTATACCTTTTATTGGCATGATTCGCTCTGTGTAGACCTTCATCAAATCATGTCTGGGTAGAGCTTCATCAGGCCGTGTTTCGCCCTGTGTACATGTTTTTTTGAATCAGAGCGAAACGTCGAGGTCTTAAGTGTGTGACTAAGTCCTATCAGGATGAAAAGAGAGTGAAATATTGCTTACCAGGACGACAAGAGAATGTAACAATACTTACCAGGACAACAAGAGAATGTAACAATACTTACCAGGACAACAAGAGAATGTAACATTACTTACCAGGACAACAAGAGAATGTAACAATACTTACCAGGACAACAAGAGAATGTAACATTACTTACTAGGACAACAAGAGAATGTAACAATACTTACCAGGACAACAAGAGAATGTAACACTACTTACCAGGACAACAAGAGAATGTAACAATACTTACCAGGACAACAAGAAAATGTAACATTACTTACCAGGACAATAAGAGAATGTAACATTACTTACCAGGACAACAAGAGAATATAACATAACTTACCAGGACACAAAAGGATGAGACAAATGACAAACGAGATGCGTGTAGCGGCGGCCATTAGCCACAGTTCCCGCTGCTTCTTCTTTCTTTTCTTTTTTCTCTTCTTTCTCAAGCTCCCAGCTCTTCTGTTTTTCCTACTGTACACTAATATATTGTATTTTCTACCCTACTGTCTATTACCTTTATATAAATTGTTTATATGACTATGTTTGTGCAATAATTATCAATGTTATCTGGCGAGTGATAACAATTATTGCCCCGCAAAAATGTAAACAACGATGACGTCACGAGGTACATTTGGTTAATATTTATGATCTACACAAAATTTATCTGTTATACACGTATAAATTTGTCATTCATTATTTTATTTTACATTTTAATTCAATGTATTTTGATGATTTAGGCAATTCCCATATTTTGAACCAGTTCCTCGTGTTCATTTCAGAGTTCAAAGAATTAGTTGCTCGGGTGTTTTAAAGTTAGCTGTTCATATGTTTGTTCAGCAAGGTGTTAAGAAGTGACGAGAGTTAGGTGAGAAGTTCAGTGCACCAAAGATCTTCTCTGTTCACTCGTTGTTCAATGTTTCTAACACCTTCGCTGTTCACTCGTTGTTCAATGTTTCTAACACCTTCGCTGTTCACTCGTTGTTCAGTGCTCCCAACACCTTCGCTGTTCACTCGTTGTTCAATGTTTCCAACACCTTCGCTGTTCACTCGTTGTTCAATGTTTCCAACACCTTCGCTGTTCACTCGTTGTTCAATGTTTCCAACACCTTCGCTGTTCACTCGTTGTTCAGTGCTTCCAACACCTTCGCTGCTCAAAACTGTTCACTTTTCTCTACGTTCTAAATAACGGTAGTGTCCAGATAGTGTTCACTCTGTTACAAAATGAAACACTATAACTTGTATGCTGAAATGCAACACTGTAGACACACTGAATTACGTTCACCACAGCTAACAACCTGTTCACTGAAGTTCAAAATGTTCAGATATTCTTAGAAGATAATATTCAATAACATCATTACTGGTTAATTACACGAAATTAATTAGTCTCATTAGGCCTCCAATGTAGGCAGGCAAGTGCCTTGATTATACTGAATGGTTCTTGTTCCAAGGACTGAGAGTTACTCTCTTCTTTCCCTGGATCAAACCTGGTTATTATACCCAGGCGATGTATGACCATTCTGCAATGAATATAATAATAATAATAATAATAATAATAATAATAATAATAATAATAATAATAATAATAATAATAATAATATTATTATTATTATTATTATTATTATTATTATTATTATTATTATTATTATTATTATTATCATTATTATCATCATCATTAAGTCCAAAATATCAGTTAGGTCTATTATAAGGTTGGAAGGCGAGCGAGAAGACTGTTAAGAGTGTTCAATCTTCCTGTTTAAGAGTTCCAATTAGCTATGCAAATCTGACATGCAAATGATGCATGCAAATTGGATATGCTAAGAGGCCGGGCAAAATTTGCAACAGGAGTTGCTAGCCCAACAAACTGTGAGGGAGAGGAATTATGTGTTCTTGGTAGTCTAGCCGACTGCAACGTAATTTATGTGGGCAATTAAAATTTTGTATGGATTATTATTATCATTATTATTATTATTATTATTATTATTATTATTATTATTATCATCATCATCATCATCATCATCATCATCATCATCATCATCATCATCATCATCATCATCATCATCATCATCATCATCATCATCATCATCATCATCATCATCATCATCATCATCATCATCATCATCATCATCATCATCATCATCATCATCATCATCATCATCATCATAAGCTTCTCGCAGAGCAAGAAGCATCACAACACTGCAACACTAAATTAGAAGGTCATTACGTAGCAGCAGTTCTGACGAGTCTGGTAACACTGTCGCCCAGGCATTTTTTTCCCTCTCTCTGGCAACACAATTACACAGCCTAACTTCAAAACAGAAATATTCATGAACCATCGCTGATTTTTTATATTCCGTTGCGAACATAAAAAGTACGATTTTTAAATCTCTGTTGCCTGTGAGGTTTGGTCTCTGTTGTGATGAATTCCTAAATGGGGCTCCTGTTAACGGCTGGAGTTAATATACTTTTTTTAAGTATATTTTTAACGCACGGGTCGTGTCCTACTAAGGCAGGGCGACTAAAAGAAAAAGAAGAGGAAACATCGGCCATCACTCGCGCCCTGGTCGTCTCACTCTGACCATCGTTCGTTGTGTAAGAATTTTCGAGAGTGACAATTTAATTCATAAAAATTATACATTTCAACAACAAACTAAAAATGAAATGAGCTGAACTGATGCAGCATCCGGATGCTGGAGGTCCAGCATCCAGATGCTTCATCCCAGACTGGACATCATTTTGGCACGAAGAAGGGACAGATAATGGGCCTGGTTATCACTGAATTTGCTTATTAGAGAAGTGCCAATGAGAATCACGACAGGAGGACCAACACAGTGGTGGGGGTAAAGCAGTGCCCCGGACACAGTACCTCCAGTCTGTGTAAATATCAGCTGGTTTTAGTAGTACCCTGCAGAGAGGTAACAGACACAGTGTCTGACAAAGGAATAACAGACAGGTATGACAGAAAACAACACAGACAACAAGTACGCAACTTGCTTAGATAGAAATCCATTTAGGGCAGATGTGAATCTGCGTCATAGAGTTACTGGTGTTACAGCTGCGTCACACAGTCAACTGGTGTTACAGTTACGCCACACAGACACTGGTGTTACAGTTGCGTCACACAGAAACTGGTGTTACAGCTGCGTCACACAGAAACTGGTGTTACAACTGTGTCACACAGTCACTAGTGTTACAGCTGGGTCAAATCCTCACCACAGTCGGGGAGAACAAAGTTGTGAGTGTACTCTAAGGAGAGAAGAAGCCAGGGTATCACACTGGGTGCTGAAGCCAGGGTATCACACTGGGTGCTGAAGCCAGGGTATCACACTGGGTGCTGAAGCCAGGGTATCACACTGGGTGCTGAAGCCAGGGTGTCACACTGGGTGCTGAAGCCAGGGTATCACACTGGGTGCTGAAGCCAGGGTATCACACTGGGTACTGAAGTCAGGGTATCACACTGGGTGCTGAAGCCAGGGTATCACACTGGGTGCTGAATCCAGGGTATCACACTGGGTACTGAAGTCAGGGTATCACACTGGGTGCTGAAGCCAGGGTATCACACTGGGTGCTGAAGCCAGGGTATCACACTGGGTGCTGAATTTCTTAATATATTCGACCAGCCCGTCATCCTGAAGCAAGAGTTCCTCTCCCAGTGTTTGATAACAGTTGGCACTCAAGTCACCAAATACTGAAGTCAGCTGGTACTGAAGTCAGCTGGTACTCAAGTCAACAAGTACTCAAGTCAGCTGGTACTTAAGGTTGCAGCAATAGCTTGCTCGAGAGAAGAAGACAACACTTGCTGATACACTTTGGACAGCCGGTAGAGGTGCTGCCATGACAGCAGGTAGAAGTGTTGCAGTGACCACAGCACTGTAGTAGGTCCTGCAGTGACCACGGCACTGTAGTAGGTCCTGCAGTGACCACGGCACTGTAGTAGGTCCTGCAGTGACCACGGCACTGTAGTAGGTCCTGCAGTGACCACAAACCCGTGAGAGGTCCTGCAATGACCACAGCACTATAGGAGGACCTGCAGTGACCACAAAACTATGGGAGGTCCTGCAGTGACCACAGCACTGTGGGAGGTCCTGCAGTGACCACAGCACTGTAGTAGGTCTTGCAGTGACCACAAATCTGTGGGAGGTCCTGCAGTGACCACAGCACTGTAGGAGGACCTGCAGTGACCACAAAATTATGGGAGGTCCTGCAGTGACCACAGCACTGTGGGAGGTCCTGCAGTGACCACAAAACTGTGGAAGGTCCTGCAGTGACCACAGCACTGTGGGAGGTCCTGCAGTGACCACAAAACTGTGGGAGGACTTGCAGTGACAACAGCACTTTGGGAGGTCCTGCAGTGACCACAAAACTGTGGGAGGTCCTGCAGTGACCACAGCACTGTGGGAGGTCCTGCAGTGACCACAGCACTGTGGGAGGTCCTGCAGTAACCACAGCACTGTGGGAGATCCTGCAGTGACCAAAGCACTGTGGGAGGTCCTGCAGTGACCACAGCACTTTGGGAGGTCCTGCAATGACCACAGCACTGTGGGAGGCCCTGCAGTGACCACAGCACTGTGGGAGGTCCTGCAGTGACCACAACACTATGGGAGGTCCTGCAGTGACCATAGCACTGTGGGAGGTCCTGCAGTGACCACAGCACTGTAGTAGGTCTTGCAGTGACCACAAATCTGTGGGAGGTCCTGCAATGACCACAGCACTGTAGGAGGACCTGCAGTGACCACAAAATTATGGGAGGTCCTGCAGTGACCACAGCACTGTGGGAGGTCCTGCAGTGACCACAGAACTGTGGAAGGTCCTGCAGTGACCACAGCACTGTGGGAGGTCCTGCAGTGACCATAAAACTGTGGGAGGACTTGCAGCGACAACAGCACTTTGGGAGATCCTGCAGTGACCACAAAACTGTGGGAGGTCCTGCAGTGACCACAGCACTGTGGGAGGTCCTGCAGTGACCACAGCACTGTTGGAGGTCCTGCAGTGACCACAGCACTGTGGGAGATCCTGCAGTGACCACAGCACTGTGGGAGGTCCTGCAATGACCACAGCACTGTGGAAGGCCCTGCAGTGACCACAGCACTGTGGGAGGTCCTGCAGTGACCACAACACTATGGGAGGTCCTGCAGTGACCATAGCACTGTGGGAGGTCCTGTAGTGACCACAACACTGTGGGACGTCCTGCAGTGACCACAGCACTGTGGGAGGTCCTGCGGTGACCACAGCACCGTGGGAGGTCCTGCAGTGACCACAGCACTGTGGGAGGTCCTGCGGTGACCACAGCACCGTGGGAGGTCCTGCAGTGACCACAGCACTGTGGGAGGACCTGCAGTGACCACAGCACTGTGGGAGGACCTGCAGTGACCACACAGCACTGTGGGAGGTCCTGCAGTGACCACAGCACTGTGGGAGGTCCTGCAGTGACCACAACGTTGTGGGACGTCCTGCAGTGACCACAGCACTGTGGGAGGTCCTGCAGTGACCACAACGTTGTGGGACGTCCTGCAGTGACCACAGCACTGTGAGATGACCTAGCAGTGACCCCAGCACTGTGGGAGGACCTAGCAGTGACCACAGCATTGCGGGAAATCCTAGCAGTGACTGCACAGCACACGCTATCAGCCACAGCCGGACACAGACCGGAAAGGCTACATCCACTCACAATGATGGTTCACGGGACACTGAACACAAGTTGCACTTTCAACCTCCTCCACGCTGCGGGATCGAGTGGGTGGAGCTTAGGGGAGAAGGGGAAGAGCCTGGGCTAATGGGGGCGGAGCTTAGGCGGGAAAGGCGAATGGCCTGGGGTAAGTGGGTGGAGCTACGGGGATAAAAAGGGTGGAGCTTGGACGACCAGGGAGTAGTCTTCATCAAAGAGGGAGGAGTCTTGATCGAAGAGTGAGGAGTCTTCATAAAAGAGGGAGGAGTCTTCATCAAAGAGGGCGGTGTCTTCATCAAAGAAGGAGGAGTCTTCGTCAAAAAGGGTGGAGTCTTCATCAAAGAGGGGAAGTCTTCATCAAAGAGGGAGGAGTCTTCATCAAAGAGGGGGAGTCTTCATCAAAGAGGGAGGAGTCTTCATCAAAGAGGGAGGAGTCTTCATCAAAGAGGGGGAGTCTTCATCAAAGAGGGCGGTGTCTTCATCAAAGAAGGAGGAGTCTTCGTCAAAAAGGGTGGAGTCTTCATCAAAGAGGGAGGAGTCATCAAAGAGGGAGGAGTCGTCATCAAAGAGGGAGGATTCTTCATCAAAGAGGGCAGAGTCTTCATCAACGAGGTAGGAGTCTTCATCAAAGAGGGATGAGTCTTCGTC